AAGGAGATCCGTGAGGAGTTTCGCGAGGAAGGTTCGGAGTCTCAACCCGCTATAAATTTCCTGTCTCATTTGCATGGCAGAAGTTCTCCCATTACATTCTTTGCGGGAACCGTTTCCGACGGATGTCGCGGGGATATCTATCGATGATCGTATCAAATGGTCGCATGGGGAGCGTTTACGTAGAACTTGGGCAGCGAATGTATTGCCTTCGCTCCGATTCGAGGGCTATCGTTGAAGTCCATCCCGAGCGGCAGTTCGTGATCTTCGGCCTACCCATCAGAGAGACTTCAATAATTCGGTGTCCCCAAGTGGTGAGTGGCGTCGTCGATTGCGTATGAAACGACGAGACCCTGTCGAGCTTCTCCGGAGGATTTAAGGGCTACTAAAACATTCAGGCCGGGTCGAGATTTCGAGGCTCCGTCGCAAGTAACACAACTCGTCAGGAGCGACGGAAACCGTACTGTGGGGTCTTTCGTCTTCAGCTCGAGCTGACTTGCCGAGAAACAGTCGATCGAGCTCCCGGGAAGCTGAGGTCCCCGACGCAGAAGAGCGCGGAAAATATCTGCCGAAGACCGGCCGGCTGGCTGGCTGACTGACTAAGCTAGTTGCTCGAGAGAGGAAGTCGACTCTGCGCTGTCGATACGCCACTACTATTGCGAGGGTGGGCTCGATGTTCGTCAATCAGGCACCCTTAGATAACAGCGGCAGCGAACGAGCGGACAGGCCGCCGGCCGCCTATCCGAAGGAGCCGTCGTATGGGTTGAGAAGGGAAAAAGCTTTTCGCTGCCATCGTTGCCTTCTTCGTCTATTCCTCTGTCTCAGGGTTTATTCGGCTCTCCATCCTCATTCTCCGCTGCTCGCCAGCCGTTTGACGTGTCGGCCGCTGTCTTTCTCGCTCAATCCCAACGCAGTGGCAGCGAGCCGAGCAACGAAAGAAGACAATGCATGGAAATAACGAACAACGGAGCTTCATTCTTTGACGGTCTGCTCGTATCCTACGTGCGTGCGCGCGTTTGTGTATGTATATAGCGGAGGAGCTCCCCATCGACGCGCCAGTGCTTTTTCGTATGCGCGTGCGCAACTACACGAGACTGAACGGATACAGGAATGAAGTAGCGACCGACGCCGTCGGGTCCAGGGTCGAATTGACGCGAGCTCGGGCAGAATTGAGGGAGCTGGCGGGAGCTCTCTCGACCATTATTCGATCATTTCATTTGCTAGAATCCATCCAAGACGAGTCCAAATCGCGGGGGTATTGCTTCGATGTCGCAAAGTGTGCTCGTGGTACGACGGCTACGGATAACGAGGAAGTCGTGGACTATTAGGCCGCGTTTACGATATTCTCACTCAGTCGGTGAGAAGACCCGGACCCGGAAGATGTCCTCGCAACAACTCATAAAGACCGTGGTTGGACCTTCCATGATTTATTCGTGCACGAATGATTTTTCCCGTTCCGTGATTTGCTCTATCATTTCGAGACTTGAACTCCGTGTGGGTAACCAGAGACGATGGAGTCGGAAACGATTTTCGGGAGCGATATCTCCGACCGATGCACCAAATCGGGAGGAATGTGGATCTTCCTTTCTTCTCAATGCGAAGATGACCCCCGGAGCATTCCCTTCTCGAGAGCGGAAGACAACAACACATCCGTGTCGATAATTTCGCGTCATAGGATGGAGTCCTTTTTTTTTCGGTACACCGAGTCCGCTGCCTCGCTGTTGGTCTCGGCTCGCTCTATCAATACCAGTAGCTCAAAAGTTGCAGGAGTAGGCTCAACACGCTACTCGGACCTCGTCGCTAGCTCCTGCCAAGTGGCAGACAAACGACAGCTGCCGCGGCAGCTGTTGTCGCCGCTGCTGCTGCTACTCCTGCCGTCTCCGTCGTTGTTGTCGTTCCCGTCGGCAGCGTCCTTGCTCCCAACAGCGGTAGCGGAAGCTGCAGAAACAACGGAGCCTCTCGTTGTCGAAAGTTGGCGACCGCGCAGCCGACCAACTCGACAAGTGGCGGCCGGCTTCGCCCTCCTGTCCGTCCTGAAGTCCCTGCCTTCGTCCGTCCGACCGGTCGCTCGTCCGACTGACTGACTGGGCGGCCGCGGAACGGAAACGAGTACGAATCTGCATCTGTCTCGTTTGATGTAGCAGTCTACCGCGCTCGTCGCCGCCACGTCGGTCGTCTTTGGAGTCGCAGGGGCGAAAGTCGACAACCGGCGCAACAACGGAGGGAACGACCAAGTCGACTCTCTCGTATGTGTAGACAAAAGCGAGCACGCGGCGTTGCTAGTGAATAATTTGATCAATCATCATGCGAATGGATAAAGGCACGAAGGCTGAACCGACAGCAGACATCGAGGTTATCGGGCCTGCTCGCGATATTCTGCGAACAAGTCGCGCACCTCGCTCGTTCTCCCTGAGGAGGAGCCCGTCACGAGTCCTTTCCGCCCCGTCGATCGGGGCTCTCGCGGCGAACGAATTCTCTCACTCTCATTTTCGTTCGCTCCTCGTTTGTACGATGTGCGTCTGAAAACTCTCGCTGTTGTCATGAAAGGCTCCACCACCGCTCAGCCCGCTGACGACGAAGTCGGACCTTCGAGCGGCGGCGGCGCCCGTGCAGGGAGTTTCAGGGGGGGCGAGATGTTTGTATTCATGAGTCGCGGACCTCCCACCTCTCTGAAGAACGTAAGAACGGGAATCCGTGTTCGGGAAGGAGCGAGGTGGCAAAAGATAAGGCTTTGCATTTATTCATCCGCTAGATGAATTATTGGATGAGCGCAGAGGCCGGGGAGAAATTCAAAAGAAAAAAAACTGAAACCCCGAGTCTTGTTCTGCCATATCGCCCGATCGTCTAGCTGATCAACGTTCAATCCGGCCACCTCATATTCATGCCCTCCAAGGAACAAAATAATGAATTTCGAGAAGTCTGATATGCATAGTCCGCTGATTGACATTGATAGGGAGAAGGCTGGGAAGGCTGCTCCCAGTGAAGGTAGATGTGGAAAACTCCTCCGGAAAGTCGACTTCTGCGATCAGGAGCGATGGATGACAATCGACCAATCGTCGGTAGAACGATGAACACAGCGAGCGTTTATTACCACCGTTCGGCTCGGGGAGTCAATCGGCAAATTACGTCTACGACATGCAAGATGGCGTGTGCTGCCAGAGAGATCGGAAACAACAGCGCCTCGTTGGCCAGCGGAATGCTGTTGGCCTGACACCGATGGCTCCGATTGCTGCATGCGTTTTGATGCGGACCCGCCGATCTTCTCGTCGCTCGGCCTTGCCACCGCATAACGCTATCACTGTTCATCTCCGCTCGACTCCCGCAGAGCGACTGGAGCCGCGGCCATTACCTCGGGAGCCACGCTTGCTTATCTCTCTCGTTCACCTCTCAAGGTCTCGTTCCGTCCACGGTCGGGGAGAGATACGCGAGTCGTTGATCTCTGAGATCGTGTGGGCACGTCGAGGGGGGCGACGTTATCTGCGATCACCTTGGAAAAATATCCACACGAGGAGCAGTTCACCCTCATCACGGAGCCCTCGGTTGGCGGGGGTGATCCGAGCTGGGGAACTCGAGACGGTGGGGGAGAGGGGTGGCTCGGTGAGGAATAGCGAGGAAACTTTGTCGGTGTTTTAAGCTGGCTAAAATTGGGCGTAAACGACGCATCAAGATGACTCCGACGAGCGGGGTCTCCTTTCTGCACACTCCGTAGAGGTAGTTTCGCGTCTGCAAATGAGCTCAGTCACTCCCAGTTCCGGGCGGGGTCTAACGTCGGGAATTCCCCCTTTGCGCTCCGAAAACTGTCCGGGCGATTCTTCCTGCGTGAGCTTTCCTCGCAATCCCTGCCAAGTTGGAGCGGTCACCGATTGCATGGACAAGCTATATATTCTATCCGTCGCGTTCTCAATCCCGGTCGGCGTGACAGAACTTCGAGGAATTCTCCCCGTCGAACCGAAGATTTTGACGGATTTCAGCGAATTCGGAGAGTTTTCCGGGAAAGCTCCGGATATTGTCGAGTTCGGCTTCAGGATATGAGAAAGCGACCGTGCAAACAGTGATGCAAACTGCGTTACGCGCGCAACCTCGACGCTTCTGACGAAATATCGTTCGAGTGGCGGCCCATAAGCTAGAGCTCAGATTTCGATGTCTCGATTTCGGAATCTTCAGCAATTCGGCGGGTCGCGGATGTCCATCTCCCGAGAACCGCAGGCAGGAGAAGAAGAGTAGGAGGATTTGGGAAGACTCTTCGGTGCTGCGATTACTCCGGATACAGGCTCTTCGGGGGCCATTGAGAGCCCTTGCCCGTCAAGCAGACTGACAGTCAGAAACAAACAAACACTCACACACTTGCACGGGTACTTGGACGCATGGAGAAGGATTGCCCCCTTCATTCCAAATCGTTCGGCGTCGAAGGGCACACAGACGCTCGACGCATTCGGTACGGTCCGCTCAAATCGACTCTGATTCACAGAAGAATCACTGGAAACAATAAAAATTCGAGAGGAGAACGATTGGTCTCCATCCTTCCCAACAACTCGTACTTTATATCGAGCGGGCTCGCTAAGAGATTTCTGTCGTCTCAATGCATGGCTCTGAATGTCCACCACTCGATGCTTTTGCCAAAACGTTGGCTCGACGCAGTCTGCTCGGGGTCGTTTGATGCAAAGGAGAATCCATTGTCCGATACGATTCCCGAACACAGCATTCTCAATTTATTCCCACCTCTTCTGCCTCACATGGCGCTCGAGTATCCGGATTTTGAAAGCCTTCTCAACAATGCTCGGGAACAACAGCCATTCCTCCTGTTGGAATACTCTTCAGAGAGTTTGTCGAGTTTCCAAGAGGAATCTCGGTGCTTCAGTCTATGAACACGATTTTGTGAATGTAGCGTCGTTTTGCCAAAATGAATACGAATAAATTACTAGGTAAATACATTTTATTCGTTCCTTCTTCTCAGAGGCTGAGCACCTGAATGATTCTTAATCAGAAATGTTTTTTCTTTACAGACTGCAGATACAATTTCGTAGTGGAACGTCAGCCAATTGGAAAATTGTTGTTTCGCGAATACTGCTCGACGAAGCTACATCTGAAGCGATGTCTCGAGTTCCTCGACGCGATCGTAAGTATTCTCAGAGAGTATTTAGAACATGGATAAACACTTTCACACGGAAGGCCCATCGAAGTGGCCATGATGTACTTCGTATGAAGATACTCTGTATTTCCCTGGTCGGCGTCAGAATTTGCGAACAGTTCAGGGAATCGGAGCGCTGCCCTTCTGTCCCGAACTCTCACGTGGTTCTCGGAAATCTAGCCATGGATGAAGTTACCCGACTGAAAGGAACGAGAAAGAGCGTTCTGACAAGAGACGGAACGATATGAGGCGCGCGCTTTCCCGCGATTCAAGTAAACGGCGCTCTCCGCCGCATAAGAATCAAACGCCTAGTTTTTATTGCATTAAACCGCCGCAGCCACGAATAATTGTCGAGGCTCACGGAAGTCGGCGTCTTTTATACCTCCTAGGACGCAAACACCGCTTTATAGCCAGCCAAGGTGCTCGTAGTTGCAGACCACGGTGCCGTGTGCTTGGAAGTCTCAAGTCTTCCCACCAATTATTCGCCCGGACTGAACAAGATTTTCTCTTCGCGCGGCCTCAGACAGGTACCGCAATGATATATCTTGAATGCATTCTCTGCAGGGCGGATGCTCGGTCGTCGCTCGAGTCTCGGTGTTTGGAGCTCGATCTCTTCTAAGACGTCCGAATCAATTTGTCTCCGACCGAGGGCATTCTGGGCAGCGATGCCCTCGCTGTGTGTGAGTGGCGACCTTGGAAATCTGGGCGAGTCATTGCCTGCGGATTTCTCTAATTCAACGTGCACACGTCGACGGAACGAAGACAGAACGGCCTCGGAGGACAGAGAAACTTCCGCTCCCTATAATTCAAAGTGGAGACGGATGCTGACGAGCTGACGAATGTGCCGGGCGTTGGCTTGCTCGAAACGTTCCCCAGCTTTTGTGTACCAATATAGGATCGGGAGCCAGGAATGTCTCCGTCGGTGGGAGAGAGAAAATTTTCTAATAGGCGAGCTATGCGCTGCTCAGCAGGAATCGCGAGAGCCACCGCCTCGACCCCCTCTTCTCTTTCCATCCATTGATCTCCTTCCGCCGAAGGGCGCACCTGGGGGGGGGAACTCTACGCGAAAAGAGTAGAATTTCTCTCCAGAGGATAAAATGAGGCCAGGCGCGTATTGAGGAGGGGGGGAAGCAGTGGCGTACCCAGGGGGGGGGG